ATGACGGGTTAGCGTCGATTTGTCATAATTATGTATGTTTTGTACTTTATTTACATTATTGTTTAAAGTGATATTTCTTAGTAAAATATATAATTTGTGAAGAGAATATATTTAGTTATAATGACAACTAATACAATATTCGTGCATTACACGGGTGCTTGTTAAAAATACTATTCGATAATTTTAAAATTAAGGAGAAAATCTGTTTTTAAATTTACATAATTTTTACAAAAAATATATATTATTATATATTTTATAATGACACTTGTTACTTGTGCGACGTACCAGTGTCATATTAAAATAATTTTTATAACATATACCATATAATTACTTTGAATATAAATATTTTCATTAATAAATAATTTTATTTTTCTAGTTTGATAGTAATTTTTACTATCACTCGGGCTTAATCAGTAGACGCGTCAACTCAACATACCTATTATGCAATATTGTATATTTATATTATTAAATATTATATTTTTGTTCATTTGATTTTTTTCTTCAGTATTACATTTCAATTTAAAAATATGTTAATTTACGTAAAAGGTATGATTGTCTAATTGTCGTGTATTACACGGATGCTTGTTAAAAATACTATTCGATAATTTTAAAATTAAGGAGAAAATCTGTTTTTAAATTTACATAATTTTTACAAAAAATATATATTATATTATATATTTTAGAATGACACTTGTTTTTTGCGCGACTTACCAATGTTATATTATAATAATTTTTATAACATATACCATATAATTACTTTGAATATAAATATTTTCATTAATAAATAATTTTTTATTATTATAAAGATAAATAAAATTTATACATTTTATGCATACAATATGGATCAGATCGAAATTCATCAAGAGATAATTAATTTGATATATTATATATGTAAAACCGATAAGAAATACAAATGTTATAAATGTTTATAATACATTTACAATTTTATGGTTATAATAGGAATTGATATTAAAATTAATACATTTAAAATAACCATAAATAATCAACAAATTTAGTGATAATCTGAACCTAATTATTTTTAGATTGTAAATTAAAATATATCCAAGTCAACATGGAATTTGATCACATAGAATCTCGAAGCATGTGATGCTGCTACTTAAGCTTGGGCATCCGAGCTCCCACGCTTGAAAAAATGTTAGAAGCTTCCACGCTTGTCACATAAAAATGTTAAATATAGGGGCGATTAATTTTATACTTCCATTTCCATTTACGCGGTTTCCACGCTTGAAAAAAGCTAACAAATGACTTATTAAATCTTATAATGTAGTGATATAAAAGGGTTATACGTTGTCTGGATTCTTAAAGAATGTTTGAGTTTAAAAATCCGTGTACCGTTTGAAATTTTAAGGAATTCGTTTGGTATTTCAAAACATCTTAAAAAATCATGAATATTCAATTTATTTATCACTTGTATTTGTGTAGACTTTTTAAATAATTTATTCATCACTTGTATTTATGTAGACTTTTTTAAAACTTACTGAGATTTTAAAGACAAGATACATTAAAAATTTCAAATCCAATTTTATTTATAAACATGAGATTTCTAAGGATTCCACTTGAATTTAAAATCTTAAATAATTAGAAAACCATTTTAGCCTTTTCTTTTGGTATTTCCCAAGTCAAATATTGTGCTCATTAAGAATTTTTTTATGAAGTCATCCACCACTTAATGTATTGAAACGTGTCCAAAATGTATTTTATTGCAGGACACGTGTCAATACATTATTGGTAAATAAGTGTGGATGACTCCATAAGCCGAGTCATCCGATGGCTCCATAGCAAAACTGTCGTATTCATATTCTCACTTTTGTGGAAATTAACATAGCTCACCAATCATATGATTTAAATAAAAGACACAGGCCTTTTTTTTTTTCTTTGTCCGGTTTCCATTTTCGGTAATACTCACCCGTAAAAACAGATGTATAGATCCATGGTATCCATATTTCTTCTCTCTTTTCTTTCCGTTGGTCAATGTACAGCTGATTAGGCAGAAGAAAATGCCATCCCGTCAGATTTTTATTAACACTTTAATTGAAAAACGTGTAAATTATTTTTCTAATGCAAGGTCATGAATGAAATAGTATAAGATTGGGATGAGTGATTGATCTTCCTTCAAGATGCTTTGGCTCAAATAACGTTATCAAGGATGAAATCTTTTATCTTGAATTAAATGACTGTACTTGATAGAAAACAGCAAATGGACAACTTAAAGTTTGCTTTGAAAGTCACAATTCCCCTTAAACTTAATTTGATTGGGTACAGTCTACAGATGATTTTTCACCTTTTTGTTGAAATTTTTTCATTTGATTTATACTTAATTTGATTGGGTAGAGATGTTTTGTCACCTTTTTGTTGAAAAAATTTCACCTTTGATTTATGGTCACGTGATGGATTTTAGTCATTCAAAATGACCCTATATTTTGGCATTCCAAAAATATTGCTTTGATTGGTTCATCAAATTAATATTTATTACATAACAATCATTAGAAGATAAAATTCTTAATTAATTGTTTTCTATTCAATATTTAAAAAGGAAGGAATAAAAAAAATGAAGATGAAGATATGGACTAAATGAAGATAATTTTTTTTTTGAATTTTGATTTTTCTTTTAACAATAGATGTCTTTCACATCGAGCTATATCCATACGTAAGTTCTTACTTTTTATCCAAATGACAGTTCCAAAAAACGTACTTTTGCATAAAAAAAACGTATTCGTAAAAATTGGTGGAAAGGGAAGGGGTTTTGGGCAGCGTTAAAAGCGTTTTCTTCAGGAAAATCTCTTTCTACCGAGAATTCAAAAAAATTTTGTGCGACAAAGAACTAAAAAAAGTACTAGAAGATAACATCTTGGAATAATCTAAATTGGCTCAGATCCAAAATAAACTCAAGTGATGAATACGAAAGAATCTCTTTTACATCTCTACCCAGTTTATCCATTTTTTTTGAAAATGATAAAAAAAAAAAGATATCGGGCAAAAAAGCTTCACCCTACAACCCCTGGCGGTATCATTGAAAGGTTTCACCGACGATTTGCTATATCGAATTAAAGGACTCATTGGAGGTCTGATGAATAGCTCACGCCTAACCCCCATCGTCACACTTCGCCCTCTACGTGGAGTATTGCCAATTTTGAGCTCTAACGGGACAAAAAAGCTTCACCCTACAACCCTTGGCGGTATCATTGAAAGGTTTCACCGACGATTTGCTATATCGAATTAAAGGTCTCATTGGAGGTCTGATGAATAGCTCACGCCTAACCCCCATCGTCACACTTCGCCCTCTACGTGGAGTATTGCCAATTTTGAGCTCTAACGGGACGCTACAATCTTGCGAAAGAATGGTGATTTACACTCTATATTGATCTGGAGACATATTATTCACATCGCCACAAATTTATTTTTTATAATATTTTTATTTTCTTTTATTGGTTCTTTTATTATGAAAAATATAAAACTTTTGTACAACTTAATTTTATTTCGATCAGACAAATGTTTTGGGTACAATCTTTATATGTCTCATTTGATTCTTCTCTTCTTGGACTTGAGTTTGATCTTCAAATTTGGATTCGACAATTGGATCTACTTCGGGCTTAATCTTGAATTTCTCTAACATTAATTTGGGGTGGAATGACCTATTTCCGTATTAAATGTTAGGACTTGATTTGATTGAAGACGATTCTTGGAGAACTTGTTTCTTTAATCTTCTTGAAAGAGGGATTTTGACTTGAATAACATTGACTCGAGGACCTGATAACTTTTTCCCGTACCAAACACTATAGTGGTTGAACTTCTCAACTAACGCTTCTTGAACGCTAATGTTCAACTTGAATGCCCTTGGATCTTCGTATTCAAATCTTCAAGAGAGTTTTTGAAAACTCTTGAGCTTGAGACTTTGATTTATGAAGTGTTATTTGTGGCTTTGAGAAAAACTTTATTTATAGGTGTAGAGAAAGAGAGCCTTGAAGAAGAAGACATCAATTTGATTTGTTTCATGATTTGATATAATCTCTTTCCTTATCCTAAGATTTTTCTTTATTGTAAGATTTGATTTGGTGGGTAAGAAATATTTACTTTATTAACTAAATATCTTATTTATCTTGGATTTATGGCCCTGTTTGGTAGATAGCGGATTGAAGGTAAATTAGCGGATTGGACTTAATTGAGAGGTTTGACCCGTCAAATCCGCTATTGAGTCTGTTTGGTAAATAACTTATTTGATAAACTTTTTGGGCTCAAAACTCTAATTTAGAAAAAGCTCATTAGAGGAGCTTTTTGGGGATAGAGGATTCACAAAAAAACTTTTTACTTGGAACTTTTCAATTTGTATTATTTATTTAAAATTTATATTGGTTTATGGTGCTAATAAATAACAATATGTCATCCATATGATTAATTTATCTAGAAAAATGTAAAATTCATAACTTTTTCATCAAGTTTTAGGAAATTTAAAGAAAAAAATAATATATTTATAAATTACCAACTAAATAATATTAAATGTTTTAATATAATATTATTAAAAGAATACACCCTAAATAATAAAATATTTTTATTGGTCATTTTGTAATGTCAAACAGCTATAAGCTTTCATCAAGTTTTAGGAAATTTAAAGAAAAAAATAATATATTTATAAATTACCAACTAAAGAATATTAAATATTTTAATATAATATTATTAAAAGAATACACCTTAAATAATAAAATATCTTTATTGGTCATTTTGTAATGTCAAACAGCTATAAGCTTTCCACTATTTACCAAATACTTATTTAAAAACCGCAATCCGCTAGTCAAATCAGCTAATATAATCCGTTATTCGCTAATACAATCTGCTATCCGCTATCCGCTGATCGCCAAACAAAACCTATATCTAAAAATAAATAAAGACACTAATGAATAAAATATTAAAATTTTGATGTCTACAAAGCCAACTAACCAAATCAATCAATTCAAGCTCAAAAACTCGATATTCATTGCACTCTATCAATTAAACCTAACCTCAAGATGATTATCGATCCAATTTAGCACAACCAACGACTTCAACCTTTCAAATGCCTCCGGGAGGATCCTCAACCTTCTCTCACACAAATCGACCCTCTCAACTGCATCCCCCGATTCCGCCTCCTTCAAGATGACCACCACTTCTTCATCGATTTCCTCTTCCCCCGCATCCCCATTCTCTCCCTCCCTTTTCTCCTCAACCGCCTCTGCCCTGGACAACGGCGCCTCATAGATCTTCGCCAGTCGCTTCTCTGCCTCGCTAAGCATCTTCTCGTATGCTGCGTGCATCTCCTCCAGCGACTCTACAACCATAGGGCTCCACCGCATAGCGCCGCTCGCCAGTGATTTCTGGTCCACGTTCCGCAATTGTGCTGCTCTATCTTCAGTTAGTCGCTATTAGCCGTCTGTCGACCTCCAAAGCGGCCTTCTCCTCGCTCTGGCCGTTGTTCCGTCCATGATGCGTTGTCCGCCTATCTTAGTCGCGCCGCCATCCCTTTGTCCGCCTATCTTAGTCGCGCCGCCATCCCTTACTGTCGTCGGGAGTTGTCGATGTCGGGGCAAGCACAGGGCCTCGTCTTCTCAGAAATTGGGCTTTTTTTTTAATTGGACGTTCGTGAGGGAATTTTGATAGAGGGAGAGAATTGAAGGAGGAGAGGAAAAAATTGGGAAGAGAAAGGTATAATTTGGTAATTTTAATCTGCAAGTTGGGAAGGAAGAAGGGAAGTATAAAAAAAGAGAGACGAAAAGAAGTGGAGGGGGATAACGAGAAAGAGAAGAGAAAAATGGAGTTTTTTAAAAATATAATGAATAATTTGTTATAATATGGAAGTGATATATCCAAAAAAAATTTGTATGTGATTATTTTCTTTGAATGTTTGAATTTAAATTATTTCCAAAAATTTGCAAAACACATTTAGGTGGGATTTTTTAAAAACTTTTAAAAAAATTACTAAGTTTAGTAACTTTAAAATTAAAATTTTACTTTTATTTTAAGTAAATTTCTATTCTTATTATATATTAATAGATTGTATTGAGGATATTCGAATATTTTGTCCACTTTGTAGTAAGTGTTTTTGTGTGTTAATTGTCTTGTCTTTGGTAGGTTATATAAATCCAGGAGAAATTGTGTATTAGACTTGTACTGATTTTAATTTGTTTAATGATAGAATGATATAAAATACGATAATGAACATAATTAGATATAAATGCATGTATATTGTTGAGGATGATGGGGTTTCAATTATTGATTTATTCCTTGAAAATTATAAATTCATGATGTTCCATTTTTATTCTCATATATATTGGTGCATTATTACTATATTCCAATTAAGTAAATATGTGTGAAATGTAGGACCATAAATTTAAAATAAAAAATAAAAAATTATTTATTAAACTTAATTTAAATTGAAAAAAATTAGCCTAAATTTATCTAATAGAATGAACTATGAAACATACGTATACAAAATGTATACAAGATTTAAAGTTAAACAATTATTTTACGTTTCAAAATATATTAATAAAACTATAACTAATTGGTTGTCGCACAATGAAAATATTAATAAAAAGATTTTTACTATTTGAAAAATAGTAAATAATTAAAATATCAAATATCACATTTAAAATTTATAAAATTTGTATATTTTGAAATAATGTACGTTGACATATTAATTTTTTTATGTGGAACGATAGAACTTTTATAGATAGAACACAAATGAACAACTAAGAAATAGAGATGTTAAATGGTCCTTGGCCCGACGGGTCGGCCCGTTTAGCTCGGAAAAAAACAGGGTTAGGGCTTTTATCGGCAGCCCGTTTAAATCCGGGCGTTTTAGGTCCGGACCGTTTAGCCCGAAGCCCGTTAGGGCTAGCCCGAAAACTGCTAGGGCTAGCCCGTTAGGGCTAGCCCGAAAACTGCTAGGGCTAGCCCGTTTAACTTGGGTTGGGTGGTGTATATGTTTTTAGAAAGGTAAGGAATATGTCTCATGATTTCTTGTATATTTTATAATTTTATTATTTTACTTCACATATAATTATGAGTTATAATGTATTATTATTATTTTGATAAATAATTATTAACAAATTTTATTTTATTTCACACAAAATATTTAAGTCAATCAGAACTGCGAATAAAAAACAAATGAGACAAAGACCTAACACATAGAATATAGTGATAGAATATAAATTCAGCAGTATGCTATATTGTGAAAATTCCCGAAGCATACGGTCAAATGGTAGTTATAAGTAATAATTCGAACATTTATTTGTTCTATTGAGAAACAATAGGTTATTTAAGAGTTTGTAATGTGTGTTCATATAAGAAGTGTAGTTGTATATATATAGTGGTACGTACTAAATAGCCGTTGAAAAAAACCGTTAACTATGTGTTGTAATTTATTATTATTATTATTATTATTATTATTATTATTATTATTATTATTATTATTATAGCCCGTTTAGCCTGAAGCCCGCTAGGTTTAGGGTTAGGTCCTTTTATTGGTAGCCCGTTTAAATCCGGGTTTTTTTAGGCCCAGACCATTTAGCCAGAAGCCCGCTAGGGCTAGCTCGCTTAACATCTCTACTAAGAAACAATCCAAGAACTGAATAAAATAACCAAAGAGTCGAATCAAATGAGAGGACAAATATGGAAATTNCATTGGAGTATAGGAACTCTCACATGGGAGAATAAACGCTCTTAAACGGGAGAAAACAAAAACAAAAAACCTTACAACACACAAATCACAAACACAAAACAAACTATAGCTAGACTAAAGCCCTTCTGATGCAGGATAGTTATTGTTATTACTATTATTATTATTTTAGTATTTAAATATTTAGTAGCTTTCTTGGTGATCAAGTTATGTTTTAGGATTAGGGGCCTTTTATAAAGGATTCCCTCTAGTTTATTTTAGTTGGTTGATTATTGAATAAAAATAAGATTGTGAGTTTTATCGAGAGAGTATCTCGTTTATCTTTCCACTCGTACGCTTCCCTACATCAGTTGGCATCAGCAGTCAGTACGATTCGCGATGACGCCGGGACGACAAGATGCCGCAAACGAACGACGTGACGCAACCGTCAACGATCGGTTTCAACAGATCGACTACCGATTTCAACAATTGGACGTGCGTTTCACGGATTGGTTTTTTGATCTTTCGACGGGGATTGAGGATTTGCATTTGACGCTTAACAACGTGGTTGTTTCGGAATTGCAGACAAACTGCGATAGGGCTGTGGGCCGTGGCAATCGCGGGAGAGACAGAGGCGGACGTGGGGAAGCAGCTATGTCGGGGCGCCCCGGCAGCGGTCCCCGGCGCCTCTGAACGGCACGGAGAACAGAGAGAGCACCTGGTCGGCAGACAACCCGTTCGTTGGCCACACGGGGAGGCGTGGCGAGGAGACTTTAGCCGATTTCTGATTTCGTGACCAGAGGCGGCCGAGCATGGAAGCCCTAGGCGATGGTTGACAGCGAGCAGTGGAGGCCAGATGGGGATTTCGCAGCGGCCTGGGTGTGTGAAGGACGGCATGGTGCTGGAGAGTTCGGTGACATCCACGGTCGCGAGCAACGTCGATCCGATGTGGGCTTCACGCCGGCTGGGGAGCGCGATGGACGGCACGCTGAAGACGGGTTCGGCGGCAGGCGCGACCAACGACGTGGAGGTGATGGTAACCAGCATTGGGAATCGGTGTTTCACGTAGACGAGCCATTTTACGATGAACCGCCGGTTTTTTATGACGAGCCATTTTATGTCGAACCGTCGGTTTTTGATGAGGAGCCTCCAAGGCCGGAGGATTTCATTGTGAAGTGCAACAACACCAACAAAGACTGTAACCAACCTTTTTGGGGAGGGAGTGTGCATGCCAGGGGCGTAGGTCCTGCTCCAATTCCAGTCGAGGATTTTTCACTTCACAAGCTGGTAGATGCAATTATTTGTATGCTACATCCAGAGGATAGGCAAAGTGCAATTGAACTGGCACAAGCAATGGAAAATGACGATGGGGGGATTCTGACACGTTATGACAACTACTTTCAAGTTATTGACCATTCGGGTGGTGTTGAATTTTTCAATTTTATGATGCTCGGGGGTGTTTGGTGCGGAAGTAGGGGTCCTATGTTATGTCGGTCAGCTAGGGGTACGACTCTGGTGCAGCACGTTTGGTGCGGCTTCGAGGGCGAAGCCTTCCGAACCTGAGAAGAACGATGCAAGATAGTTATTATTATTACTATTATTATTATTTTAGTATTTAAATATTTAGTAGCTTTCTTGGTGATCAAGTTAAGTTTTAGGATTAAGGGCCTTATATAAAGGACTCCCTCTAGTTTATTTTAGTTGATTGATTATTGAATAAAAATAAGATTGTGAGTTTTATCGAGAGAGTATCTCGTTTATTTTTCTCACTCGTACACTTCCCTACATCACACACCCACGTACCTAAACCCAATTGCACCGGCCGCCCCTCCACCCAAACACCATGGGAGCAAGAGTAACGGGGAGAAAGCCCACCGACCCTTAGCTTCGATCACCGGTCCAAGGGAAATCAGAGCCGCACCCACACCCCCAGAGAAGCGTCGAAGCCCGCCATTGCTGTTATGCCTTAAGAATTGACGAACCACCTCCCCAAGCAAACAACCAAGAATAACGGCAAAATCCCCCCAAGTATAGACTCCGACTCCTTCAGCACAACTACGACACATGTGACGAAATTCGAGAATCTAGGCGCACAGACCAGTAATGGCCACCGCCAAGGAAGCCCAACGGTCCCACTAAAGAAGGCGAACAAACGGATTGAGGCGAGGGTTTTTTTTTCCAACGATAGAAATGACTCCATTCAACCAAAATAAAATACAATGTTCAAGAACACCAACATAATAAAAGCCGAAGGCTAAGCCAGGGAGCACTACCGCAAGTGGTAGGCTACAAACTAACAAGATTACAATACAAATTACCCACACTAATCTCCATCAAAGGCAGAACATAAATTCTGAACCCTCCAATGGGATATTCTGAACATAAATTCAGAACATCAAAGGCGAGGGTTTATAGAGAAAAGAAATTGGAAAAATTAGAGTTGACATAACAATCAAATATTAAATTATTAGATGTTGTAAAATGAATAAAAAAATAATATAAAATATTATTTTATTTTATTTACTTATATTGTATTCTTTTGTATTATATTATATCCCGTGCATTTCAAATGTATATATCCACACTACTTAACAATAAAACTATAAAACTACAAAACACAAAGCGCAAGTTCATAATTATTAAAATTGCATAACAAAATAGCATCACATATTTATCCTAACTAAAGTACCTTGTCAATAACACCACACCAAAATCTGCTGCTAATAAATCATCAGTACTTTACTACACACACTCCAAAATTACTAATTCCACACAGCGGAGCTCCATTAACTACAGACTACACTACATAACACTCGTGAAGCTGAATTTCCGGCCACATCTTTTCCCGGCGTCGTAATTGACACAGTCAAACCCGCACCCGCACTGCGGACTCTCATAGAAGTTATCCACCGGAAAAGTCGCGGACAAAATACCGACGGACAGTTCCAATTCGTCACCGTCTCTGGTGACCTCGACGATGTTGACCCAGAAAAACAGGACCTTCACCTGAATCCCTTGCAGATCCTTGATTTTTCCCCTCGATATCGTGCCGGAGATTTCGCTCTTGAACTTGAGGTCGTACCCGCTTATGGTGAAGCTGCAGCTCTTGTCCAGGTAGACCGAGAATTTCCCGGTGCTCGGGTCCAGCTCGTAGCCGGTCACGCCCACTGGCAGAAGTCCGGCGGGAAAATCGTACGATTGGAGGACTTCGTAGACCGACGGGGAGTCTCCGGCGGACGGCGGGAGCGCGGCGAGGAGGACGGCGGAGGTGAGTAGGATGAGGAGGTAGGTTGAGGAAGGCATGGTAATTGGGTTTCTGTGGTTGGTGTTGTGGGGTTTGAATATAGATAGTGATTAATTTTTTTAGAGTACTTTTTTGATCTTGTCCTTGTGTAGTGAACTAGTGATGCACAAAAAGTCTATATGTTGTTTGGTGTGTTTTGAATGCTAAGATGGATAAGGTCACGTGGGAAAGGGTAGGTGTTGCCTTTTGGAATTCTAGAAGGTAAATTTTGTTAAGATTAGATAATATTACCATTTTTCGGAATTTTTTGGATTTAATAAAATCTCAAACTATTTTTAGGGATTATTTAAAAGCATTATAAATCTCATTTCATCGTGGTTGTATATTAATAATTTGGATCAATACACACCCACACGAGTGAGTGAGTAGTTTTTATTCGTATAATACAACTTTGCAAGCATATCAAATTACGGCCTTTGCATAGTTTACCAATAACAGATACATCATACTGTAATAAAATACAAGTATAACAGCTGGGTCAGAAAGTTAAAGATATTTCAATGCAACAGAGATAAATTAGTATCTGAATTGAAGGATCCAAAATTTATACATATCTTACAACTTTGGCTTGTGCTGCTTTCTTTCTCTTCCCTGCCAAAGGTTAACAAAAAATTTCATCCCAAAAGAAAAAGCTAGTGAGTTGGCACATTTATTCCTATGAACAAAAACTTTTAAAATAAGGAAAAGAATAGTTAAGCATACCCTGAAGCTCAAATTCGTGTTAATATTAGTAAATATTACTCACCAGAAATATCCTCTTTGCAGATAGCTCCCTCAAATAATCACAAGGCTTGAAAAACTCTCCATATTCATTTGACCAACTCACCAATCTTGAATATACATAATTTGGCCCAAATGACTTGGACCAGTAAATAATTCCTCCCCTGGATGTTATTAGTTCATAGAAAGTTAAGTATCTTAGCAGTAGTTTATGGGAAATACACATAAGAAGTAGGGCCTTAAGTTAAAAACCTGTATGATGGGAACCCCATTCCAAGTACTGAGGCAACATCAAGATCAGATGACCTTATTACAATGCCCTCTGAGATTAAACGGCATGCTTCGTTTAGAGCCGGAAATAAGATCATCTCGACCATCTCTTCCTCGGACAAGTTTGTCATCTGTTGCAAGTCCAAACAAAAAAAAAAAACATAGGAAAAGTCTGACAAGTAAATGAACTGTATGGATTTACAGCTAGAGGAACGTTGTAAAAAGAGAAAAAGGAATTATGTTGTGGGGAGAGAGAGAGAGAGAGAAACCTTGAGGTCGCTGGTCATATTCAAGTTAGTCCTAGCTTTTCCAATGTAGTCCACAATCTTAGGATTTGGACTAGCCTTGCCATGATTGTCATATTCATAGAATCCCTTACCATTACATTCACCTGTTTTAAATACGAATTTCAAAAGGCAGCATTATTACTTTGCAGATACCCAAAAAAGGAAAGAAAAGAAGAAACATGTTATAAGTCACCCAGAAGTCCTTCGTGTTGTAAAACTCGAATCAGCTTTGGCCTGTAAGATTTATCCAGGAGATTCCCAAAAAATGGAACTATATCAATCATTCTGCAGTAGAATCACCATCAAGTCATCAACACAAATGGATTAAAATAATGTCCGAATATAAATGAGCGTCATTTCTCAGTATCCAACGAAATTTGAACTTAGCTTTTACCTGAATGGACCCAATTGCATTCCAAAGCCTTGAAGAGTCTGATCAATCCGGTAAAAATCCACACCATGTTCAGCTATTAATATTGCCGAATGCAAATACGCAACCAACATATTGTCGACTGAATAGCCTTTCCTGTCACAGATGATAATTGGGGTTCTCCGAATTTTTCTTGTGAAAGATGTTAAATCAACTATTACTTGAGGTGATGTACTCTCTGTACGAACTATTTCCATAAGAGGTGTTGTTACCGGCTGGAGGCTGCATTTCAGAAGGTAATGAAAGAATTCAAGACAAATTTGGGCAGGACATTGATTTTCTAATGGTATAAGATTACCAAAAACGGATCCCAGCAATCTGATTCTGGGATTTACTTCTTTCTCCAATCGATTTCAAGCTGAAGCTCGAGGTATTGGTGGCAAAAATGCAATGTGGTGGACAAGATTTCTCGAGTTCAGCAAAAATCTCTTGCTTTAATGGTAAACTTTCAGATTCAGCCTGCCCAAAATTTTATATACAGTAAATGATTCAGATTGTCAGAATTTAGTTCAGCCTATTTTAAGTTTTATATAAAAAAATAAAGATGAAAATTTCTAAATTGAGTGCACGCTGAACTATGTTTTTACCTCTATAGCTAAATCGATATCTTTGAGGTTCTCATAATCAAGAGCACCCGCTAATAGATTGAAAGCTTTCTCAACGCCTACTTGAGTTGCCTTTCCGTTCTGCACGTGAATTTGCAAATTTTCTGTCACAAAGAACAATAGCTTCAATAGAATATTCATTATCCCACACACGTATAACAAAAAGATAAACAGAAATGAAGCCCGCCTTTCACTCTGCCGATCTCCACCAACAGATTCTTCTTATTATTCAGTTTCAGAATGACTTTGTAATTTCTGAGGACCAAAAACGTAGCAATTTCGCAGCTATTTAATCCCCCACCAATTACAGCAACCTTCTCTATTTTTCTTGGCCGCAGATTCATCCTAGATATTTCAGGAATCTGATGTCCATTCCATTGATAAAAGAAGTAAAATAATAAAGTTAGATGACAAGCTCTTTTTGTATGTATGCCTCAACATGAGAATTTTACATAGACATCCATTAAAGTGATAATTCCATTTATGATATATGTATCCTGCATTTACTGCTTGTAGAAACAGTAAGTTTAGTATCTCAATGTCATGTGAACAGCCTCCCCAATCAGATACCTTATCAGAGCACTAAAATGAATTGGATGCTTTTCATATTAGAAAAGTAACTGCCAAATTATCATCCCAGAGTTGATTGGAGAAAATATAAGACATGTGCAGAACCTTCAGAACTTCACGCTGAGCGAAAAATACATGTATAAGGCTCCTGCATGTACTAGATTGTCGAAGTTCTTCAAGAGCTTCTGCTTCCTGACAAGAAGGCTAAAATTGTCATAAACTGCTCATCACCACCAGCAAAACAAAA